TTTTATTATTGTTGTTGAATTGACTTCAAATCTTTATGAGAGGGAGTAGGGGTGTACCAATAAGAATATACAACAAAAGTATGAATGTCGTTAGAACTTGGAAAGATAGCGGTGGCTGAAATAAAAAGTGTTACACCATGTTACAGTTTTGCTCGTCACTGTAATTCAAAGTTGAATTAAGATGTGTTGGTATTTGAAAAAACAAAATTGGAACACGAATGACTTTTTTTGCACATAAATAAAAATAGTGGGAAAATACCTTTCTACTGAGATCCCATAAGTCTACATCAGAACAGTTTTGGGCCCGTTATTCAAGTTTTTCGTAAATCAATATTTGCAAAAAGTAAAAAAACGTCATCAAAAATCTCATTATTAGAATTCCGTTGAATAGATTTTTAAACATTTTTATGCAGATGTTTTAAACTTAATCTGTTTTGTCATCTGAGGGGACTTTGTTCAAATATTTCTTTAAGAAACTATTTTTATTCATAAAAAACTCCATTTTTGGAGGTATTCCGAAATATTTTGGTGGACGGACGTCTTAAAATATAATAAATTTTGTAATCCTGGCGCAAAATCCGCAACTTTTTTTGGTGATGCAGTATAATGTACATATATAACTCTAAAAAATATTGTATTAAATAATCTGTGCTTATGTATGTAAATAAATTTTAATTGTTGATTTAAATGCTGCCCTAATATAATATTCCCATATTTATATGAATATGTATGTATGAATATGTATATACATATGTACATAATCTATTGACATAAATTCACACATTTTTATGCCGAAAAGGGCATGTGTTGTATAGTACACACAGAGCGCTCGCTCGTCACTCACTCGTAAACGCAGCAGCCTTTAATAAAAGAGCTAGCTAACAAGCGGCGCTCGCTCATTTGCCGTGCAAGCCAAACGGCGATTTCCGGGATCGGCCTAACGAAGGTTGTCACGCTCATCGGCTAGAACAGACGCTTCAGAAGGGAAGTTTGGACGGGGGTACGTAATGCATCCTGCTGGTACGAAGCGACCTTCAGCAGCAGTGACAACCCTGCGGAACTTACGTTCACCAAGGCCGACGTCGGTTGGTGTGGGAAGCGCAGCGAAGATGCTCTCAGTAAATTTCGCGAAGCCTTTCCAATCAGCTTTAGAAAAGTTGATATAGGCCCGGTGTTCCGCGGAAGCAAAGTCGGTTGGTTTATCGATCGAGATGCCTATGGGCAGATGGTCTGATGCCAAAGTCAACATAGGTCGCTATGATACGCTGTTTATCAGACCAGCGCTGACTGTTGTTGCCTGGAGAGCTGCTGCAGCTGCCGATAATCCTGGTGGCTGCGTCGTCGTTCATTGTGCAGAATGTCGAATCGTCTATCTGCTCAGCCAAGTCTGTTCCCCTACTATTGTTTGACAGGCTTGAATTTCCAAAGATCGTGGTGCGCATTAAAGTCACCAACTACCATACGGTTTTCACCTCTGAGGAGCGTACCTATATCAGGGTGATATCCTGCCGTACAGTTAGTGACACGTTAAATATTTCCAGTTCCACGTCGCCTGACCGGATAGCAATGCCCTGAAATTCTAGGGTGGTATCCCTGCGGTCGATGTCTGCTTCGATAAGACGATACTGCACGGTGTGGTGCGTGATGAAGGCTAAGCCACCACCATTATCTCGCTCGCGATCTTGACGGTGCACGTTGTATCCGGCGCAATTCAACAATGTTGAAATGCTGTGCAACTTCGTCTTTTGGACCGCAGCTATCAATATACCATGCCTTCCCATAAAGACGGTTATCTCCTTGATCTTGCTCTGAAGTCCGTTACAGTTGAATTAAAGGAGCTTCATGTGGTTCGGGGGACGTGTTGTTATGTGGGGTGTGAGGGATGTGTGTTGCCGTGCCGCCGTTGGTTGTGTGCGGTGCTGTGGAGGGTGCCGCCCTGTGGTGGTAGTGGGTGGCGTCGCAATTGGGGTATGCAACCATGCAGCGCAACACGGGCCCGCGAAGTTCCTCGTCCAATATCGCGTGGTGCGCAGACTTGAAAATGCCTTTAAGTGGCACCAGCCAAGGCAGGTGTTGCACTTGACTGACGGAATATCCTGGACTGACACACCGTGCAGATTGTAGGAGACAGGAGTTGCTGGGGGCGGCGTGTGGGTGGTGGTGCGGTTGTGTGGTCTGTCGTGGTTGTGGTGTGGTCTAATATGTTTTTGTGTTGTGGTGTTTGTGTTGAGCTGTTCAGGTGGACTAGGGTTAGCCATGAAGGCTGCTCTGTTTGAGCAGCAGGGGGCCACAAATGATGTGGTCCACTACCGATAAGTCCGTAGGCCTGAGTAGACTCTGAGGTGACTCCACCCGTCGCAAGCATTGCACTTGACTGAGGTGGAGTTGTGGTGCATTCGTCTCTGGCATACACAGCAGGTGTAAGTTTCTGGCCCTGGGTTTGACTCGATGCCAGCCCTGAGCAGAAGAATAAGTAGAAAATGTAGCCCTATGGACAAACTACTTCTGAGATACTTCGCCGACCTAAACGGGGTTAGATCGCCGAAACAACAGCCCTTGGTCGGGTAAAACCCGTGTAATTCCGGTACGTAGAACCGGCTGTCGTGGGAATGTACACGTTGACGTCTTCCAGCTTTGTTCACTCGAATTGATAGCAAACCTTGGTATTCAATGAATGCGTAATTTGTATAAATTTGAGGGGTAATGAGTCGGTATCAAACCGCGTTATTCAATATAAAGGCGATGCCGCCTTCGTGGCTCAGAGGACATCTTTTCGGTGAACGTTGAACTCGTCAGCTCGGAAGGCTCGATCCTGAGTTATAATTGGTCCCCGGGATCGCCGTGACTGAGATATTACGCCTCAAAAAATTGACTGTCTCTGCGATCTTACCTTGTAGCCCATTGCAATTGTTGCGAGTGGAGCGAGAAAGTACTGGAGCGCATCTTTTGTTGCCTGCTGCCCCTGCGGCCTGATTGTGTACGAAGTGGTCTGCCGCTGGTGTTTTCAGCGCCCTTTCCACTAGTGTCGTCGTGTATGTGTATCTACTGGGCTACCGCAAGCATTGGCGCTGGGCGTTGTGAGGCGGCAGGCTGCAGTGAAGGCAGCACTCCACTCACCACGATGCGTAAGGCTTGAGAAGTGTTGCAGGTGGGACCAATTTTTACATCTGTTGCACTGTACCGATGTCGTGTTTTGTTTTACCAGATTGGCGCAAACGCTGCAAAACTGTTCTCAGTGGATGTTCTTTGTTGCGTACTGCCGATCTGTTGTGGGATATTGCAGTACGATGATATATATATATTTTTTTTGCTCTATGCCGACACGGACCAGTAATGTGCGGAGCAGACAAGTGGCAAGAGGCAAGAAAATGAGGGGGTTTCTCCGGTAGTGATGGTCCTTGTTCGGAGTTAGTGCTCCGTTTCTGTGCGCAAAGCCGCGGGCAAGGTCTGTTATATAAACTACTGAGCCGATTCTTGTACAAAATCTACGGTAATCGTGGTGCAATAGGCAACGTTTTATATACGTGAAAAAGAGGTTCTAAGAATCCTAAAATCAGTGCTTTTCAACTGAATGGAATCGCGAATTGATAATATACATATTCAGGTATCAAGCGAAAGGTATTTTAAAAGGCTTGGTTGCAGTAATAGTCTCTAGTCACTAATATAGAACTTTCGTGGTGAATATCGATTTTGAGACAATGTATTTGGTATTTAGTTCAAAAAAAATTTCAGTAATTTACAAGCTGGTTCTGAGCAGGTTCCAAAAAGAAACATATGGAGGAATATATGACGGCTTCCTATGGCTTTCTCTTTTACTCTAGAAAACGCACCAATAAAGCAATATTTGTTTAACAAAAACTGCATCAAGAAATAAACCTAGATCCTTTAATAAATTAAAAATTAAATGCAAAAAAAAAATTATTTTTTAAACAATAAAATTAAAGGAAAATTACAAAAAAGCAAAAAGATCCACGTCCGAGGTTTCGAGCTTTTGATCTCTCGAATGCCGCACTAGTGCTTTGCTCAGTCGGCCATTGCGACTGTTAGAGCACCGCGAGCAAAATGATATACGTTTTTTGACTTTCTCTTACTTAATACCCAAAATGTCTCCTCAAGTCACAACAACAGTCACTAATTTATAGTATTAAAGTCAGTGACTTGAGATGAGACTGACTTACTGAATACCAGCATAAAATCCCCATTTTTCATATAGGCAATTTGGCCCAAAACAGCAAAGGGGTAGTTGAGAGTTAAAGCGCGTTATAATTATTTTTGTACGGGATAAAGCACTGGGACCATAAGATCGATTGTGCGCCACCTTTTTTTAAATTTTGAACCGACTTCAAAAAAAGAGGAAGTTATCAGTTCGCCAGATTATTTTTTTATGTATGTTTCCGCATAACTTTGGACCATTTTAACCAATTTCTATAATTCTTTTTTTAAAGGAAGGGTAGTCACTTACTAATTTGGCTTAGGTCCGATGATTGGATCATGAAAAAATTAACGGTATTCTTAAATTTTTATATGAGAATTGAATGTTGTATTGGCGTAGTGCCATCAGTTTTGTAATGATTAAAAATATCCTGAGGGTTAAAAACTTTTTGTTTGTTGCTGCGAGCCCCTTTAAAATTATTTAACCGTTATAAAAATTATGGCACCACGACATTACAACACTTATAAAGCAGTTGAGGGTATAAGCTCGAAACTTGGCCTTACATTAAAAGGGAATATTTTAAGTCCATACTTAAGTTTCTAGCTCTTACGAAAAAGAGGACAAAAACTAATTAAGAAACCGCATTTCCAAACTTCAGCCAAAAGGGATGAAAAATTTGTTGATATTGTCGGGCATTTTGTACGCTTATGAATTTATGGGAGCTCAGTGTCCAAACTGACAGTAACGCAAACAAATACACATACACATTTTAGGCGAAGATAGATAAACATGTAAAAAAAAATATCGTCTTAAAGTATTAGAAGAATAATAATGAAATTTTATTTACCTGTGAGGAATTTCCATTGCTGTAAAAGTCTATGTTGTCTGGATTAGCGGTCTGTGAGTTGTAAGAATTAAATTTTAGAATTCAAAATATACAAAAACCCGGAAGTTTTGGTTTAATTCAAAGGCCGATTAAGTATCATTATTTTCATATATCGTCCAAATAATGTGAAATCAAAAAAATGTTGAACTAATTATTCACGTATACGCTACATTTTTCCTCAAATAACATACCTGCAATGTTGAACAATAACTGTTGAAATCATTGCTGCAGCTCATATTTATATACGTTTGAGGTTGAGATCCATTTAAATCTTTGTTTTCTCCAATATCTTTAGACCTAATATTGGTTTCATGAGATTTTATATAACAGTTGTGGTATGGCTTTTTAAATGCATCCGTCGCTCTTCGTAGTTCGCTATATGATGAGCTGACTGGACTAGGAGGTGGTGGCGTTTCCTCATCAGTAGCCTCATTAGCGTCAATAGACAATTCCGTTGAGAGTGGTGGTATATAATCTATTCAAAAACGAAATGTGAAAAGCGCCTTTATTGTAAAATTCACATATTCGCACTAGCAACTTATACATTTAAAGGGTGTTATATGCAGAATTATTTCATAAGTAACTAAATTAATATAAACTTCATTTAGGACCGGTATTACAATGCATTTCTAAGTTGAACTTAAGTCTAGGCTACGATTTTGCCTTTCGCCAACCACTTTTTCACCAAAACTTAAGTGCAGCTTAAGTCGCGAATATTGACGACTTAAGTTCTACTTATCTTTTCCAACAGCTGATTATAAATTACAAATAAATACTATGAAGATCGAAACAAAATAATTGTGAAAAATGAAGTTAAAAACACTATATTTAAGTTATGGAGTAGCATATTTAGTGATGGAAGTATTAAATATTAGTTGTGATCCTGCATGAGTCCAAGCTGACAATTTTTACCAGAATTAACCAGATGTGACTGGACATCGATCTCATACTCAGTTCTCTGGCAACTGAGAGGACAAATAAGATAGCAAATAAGGCCCTCTCTTTGTCAGAACTTGCCAGTTTTGGACCGCAGATTTTTTACTGGTAAATGTGTCAAACGATCAGCTAAAGTATGTTTGACAACCAAATTGTAAACAAATTAAAAGTGTTCTTTGCTAAGGCATGTTATAAAATATTCAATTACTTGTTGGTTATTTACATACAAACAGAGACCATAATGATTATAAGAAATAAAATTAAATATTGCTCTATAATTATTACTGAACAATGGAAAAGTTGTTTTCGTCTCATAATAATTATATAGGATTTTTATTTTTTTCGTCTCCCGGGACGTTTATTTCAAGACGGAAATGATTTACGTCTTCTCTTAATAATTATATGGGACTTTTATTGAAATGAAACTTCTTAATTGAGCTCGAAGATTTGACGCGTTAAATATTTAACGCCACGAAATTCTAATAATCAAGCTCGGAGATGTTTGCGTTTAATTCCGTGAAATCGGCAGTACGTATACCGTACCCACTAGACGAAAAAAAACATATTTCTCGTAAATAATTATTATAAAAAGACGAAACAGAACAAGGCGACTTTTCCATCTCAAATATTAGGATAATAATTATTTTGGGTCTCTGCTTACAAAATAAGCATAATTCTGAGGTTATGTTGAAGTTGTCAGAAGTTACCATTTTTTACCAGAAAGCGATCCGGTACTTTTCAGTATTACTCTCTTGTTCTGACTGAATTTTTATTTTTTGACAGCTTAGTAGATTTAGTGTCCGAATACATGACACTGTTTGAAAATTACACACGCAAGGGCAGTTTCATAAGCCAATCAGGAGTATCACTGAATCCGTCGTTGAAAATATCGTTGCCAGCTTCGAATGCTGCACTTTGATGATTCGAAATCACCTACCACAAAGGAAACAATAGAGACACATATGTATGTCATTTTGTTCGCGCTGCCCCAAAAGTCGCAATGGACGAGTGAGCTAAGCATAGAGTACCATTTGAGAGATCTGAGTTTTCAGGCAGCGGAAATTTTTTCCTTTTTTGTTTTTTTTTTTGTTCTTTAGTAGAATTTTTTCACTCTACATTTTATTTTTTTAAAAGGAAAAATATTTTTTTATAATTACGTTTAACTTTTATCACCCTTATGCTAGAACCCGAATTTTCGTAATTCGTAATTCGTAGCTATGCACATTAGGTCTAGTGATTACTTTTTCTGTGCGAAATTAATAGCAGCTAAAATATTGCAATATTTTCATTTTAAAAAAGTGTAGTCAGTAATTAAAATGTGAAAACATGACTTGGCTTTCGTAAAATATTCCGCCTAACTTTTTGTATGTTCAATGATGAGTATATGTGTTTAAGTAGTACTCGAACAAGTAAGAAAGGCTAAGTTCGGGCGGAGCCGAACATTAAATACCCGGCGCAAGTATTAAATATATGTTTTTTCACCCTTCCGAAACCTTCCGCTAGATGGTAAGCCGAGTTGTAACAATTTTGAGTAAATTAGCGTCCTTCAATTTCGAAATATTGAAGTTTCAAGCAATTCTTAAATTTACCGTTATATGAGAATCGGCCGTTATATTAGTCCGATTTCAATAATTTTCAACGTTTTGCTTACACGTGGCAAGTACAATAACCATACCGAGTTTGGTACAAATTGGTAGAACGGTTACCGGTATACTTATATGTGATCATAAGTGGGCGGTGCCACTCCCATTTTCCAAAATTTTACCATAAACGCATTTCTTGGTAAAGAATTGTTGCAACCATCAATTTTGAAAAAATGAGCTTCAATATTTAATGATTTATCGAAGATTTTGTATTTCTCTAAATTACCGTTATATGGGATGTGGGCGTGGTTATTGTCCGATTTTAAAAAGTTTCGGCGGTTTTTTATGCTGTACCAAGGCCAACAACTGTGCCAAGTTTGGAAGAAATTGGTGTAGCGGTTACCAAGAAATACACATGTAACCATAAGTGGGCGTGGCTACGCCCATTTTCCAAAAATTTATAATATTCTTATTTTTCGTCTAAAAATTATTGTAAATATCAATTTTGAGTGAATTATCTTCAGTAGTTACTAAAATATCGCAGTTTTCGTATTTCTGGAAATTACCGTTATATGGGAAGTGGGCGTGGTTAAAGTCCGATTTCGCCCATTTTCAATACCAACCTACCTTGGATTAAGGGAAACCTACATACCAAATTTCGTTGAGATATCTCAATTTTTGCTCGAGTTATCGTGTACACGGACAGACGGACAGACGGACAGACGGACGGACAGACAGACATGGCTTAATCGATTTCTTTTTTCATCCTGATCATTTATGTATACATTTGTCTATATCTATCTCGATTCGTTTTGGCTGTTACAAACAACCGTTATGTGAACAAAATTAATATACCCTTGTGCACAAGTGCGCTCGGGTATAAAAACATTGTCCAATTAGCTTGGTTTAGAAACAAGTTATTTTTTACCATACTCAACCCCCTCCCCCTTAAAATGAGATACATAATAAAATAAATATATCATATGTACATAAATGGTTTCTTCTAGCGATTAATTATGCCATTATCGAAATTCCTAAAAAAAAAGAAGTTATTTACTACATGTCTCGCAGATATGCCTTGAGAAGCGATTCCTAAAGCAGTTAGTCTTCATAAAACACTTCTTTTCCACTTAAGGTTTCAGTATTCCCAAATTCTCCACCGATATTATATATATTGAGAATGCTAATGCTGCTTTGCGACACACATACCAAAAACCGCTAGTAACTTCCTGAAAAGAATACGAATGTTTTTTTTTCCTTTATTTATGCTTTCAATAAAGCCATTTCCTAAAAAATAATACATTTTGTGCGAGAAAATGGCATAATTTACTTCTAATTTTGCTTACTGCTAACGTGCGCGTAGCAGTGGGGAAAAGAAAAAAAAAATACTCAATAAAATGCGAAAACTGATAACATACAATAGTGTAGGAGATAAATCTATTTGACGAAAATTCTACTAAAAGATTCTACTCTACGAAAATTCTACTTTATTGCCAGTCGAAAACAGGGTTTTGTAACAGGAACTCTTTAATTAGTCTTTTAAATTGAAGTAAATTGCTAGCGCCTCATATTTGTTCTGGCAGCTTGTTAGAAGTTTTAACGCAGTAGTTCCTAATTGATTTAGTACTTCTTTCAGTTCTAAAAAACTTGGTCCTCATGTCACGTTGGTTCCGAAAATTATATACGGGAATTTCTGTGTAATCAATATCAATATTGTGTTTGATTAGGTTATTTTTAATTTTATAAACAGTGATAAGTGTTTGCAAAATACAAAAACGATTAACATCCAGTCTGCAAGTATATAGGCTTCTGGACGGGGTGTGCTTGGGAAGAAGTAGAATGTTTTTAATCATTTTATTCTGAAGCCTCTGTAATTCGTTCATTCTTTGTGCGGAACATCGATTCCAAATTGGGTTTACATAATTTATTTGCGACATAAACAAAGCCTCGTACAGTAGCCACAGATGCTTTCTGGGAATACTGTTTTTATTTCTGTGAATAGCAAAACTGAGCGGAATTAGCTTTAGTTTTAAATTTTTGAGATGCTCATTCCAGCTTATGTTGGAATCTATCCAAACTCGTAGATATTTTGAAGTATCAACTTTTTTTATTTAAACATTATTAAGAACAATCCCTGGGAAGTCATCCATGTCTGGTATTGGCTTGTTGTTATTAAATATCAGGAAATTTGTTTTAGTCAGGTTGATTTTTAAGCAATTCTTGTCAAGCCAGTCGTAGATTTTACACAAGTCGGACCTTATGTTTTATGTAAGCTCTTCTATTGTATCAGTTGCATACATAATAAGTCCATCATCGGCATAGAATTGTGGAACTCCTTTTAGGTCTAGCTTTAATAAATTATTTATGTAATTTAAAAAAGGGTTGCTGCTAGCTTTGAGCCCTGTGGGACTCCAATTTTAATTTTCTGCGTGGAGCTTTTTGTCCCATTTACTTGAACATATTGCACCCTATTTAATAAGAAGCTTTGAAATAGTTTTAAATTATTACCGCGTATTCCTAGTTCAGCCAGTGTTCTAATCATTATTTCTAAGTTCACTGAATCGAATGCCTTTGACAAATCTATCGCCAGTATCACCACATCTTTCTTTTTATCTAAATTTTCATAGACAAATTCAGTACAGGACAGACACGCTGCCAGAGTATTAAAATTATCGATAAAGCCAAATTGATTTTTATGTATTATTTGATTATCTTTTAAAAAACTTTCAGGCGGTTGAGAATGATGCTTCAAAAATTTTGTCGATTGTACTCAGTTTGGTTATTGGGCGATAGATAGAGCAGATTTCACTACTTCCCTCTTTATGGATCGGTATCACCTATTTTCAATTCTTGTGGATACTGGCCGTCTTTAAGACACTTATTTATGAAATGTGCTATATATATATATATATATATTTATGAATTATTAAATATTTATATATATATATATTTATAT